AAAATTTCTAGCAGTTCTGATCCTTTATGTTCGCAAAAGAATTCATGATATCCTTGTCAATGATTCATGTATCTTACCTTATTATCATTTGTTCGCAGGAGCACGACAGGTTTATTATTAATTAATTCATATTATTGTTGAAGGTATCTTGATTTTCCGGCTATGATCTGATTCAGCTTTAATTCGTAATAGTATCGTTGTCATGAAATTAATTCATAGTTGTCTGGAGGATCTTTTCAATTAATAATTGTCATGTTTGAATTTTAATGCGAAAAAAGTCGAAGAATAGGTAGTTCAATAAAATCCATGCGACTAGATTTGATTTCAATTCCCGGGGAAAAAAATTATAACCCTAACCATCTGATTTATTGCTTGAAAGCTAATTTCTATTATGAAAGTAAATTTATTATTACATTATTTGATGGGATACAAAAATGCATAACGATAATAAATATAATAAATGCACGAATGGACAAGTTTAATAGTATTGTCAAAGATTTATTTAAAGTTTAGGGTTAGGGTTAAAATTGCCTTCCCGACATTTTTGATTAGTCTACATCATCGATAATCACGTGATTTATAAATATCGGCACTGGTCCGGAAAGATCACATGATTATGCAATGATCCTAAGCTAATCCTAAGCACTATCCGTATACTTCCCGACACCATAGATCTTATTTATCATCTTGCAACAATATATATAACACTGCAGTAGCTTGCACTATATGTTGGTTATAGGCACATCAACAACCTGCTTATAAAATTAGAAGTATTACCTCACAATTGCAGTGCTTATATGGAGGTTTGACTGTACTATCTATGTTATGTACCGCATTTTTAATTATTTATTGTTCTCACGACCGGCAAAAGACAAGAGCCAAAGAAACAATCAATAAAATATAACAAGCAACTATCTCAATATAAGAGTCACAATAAATACCCATAAGAAAACAAAAAATTTCGTGCGGCCGTATATCGCGTCAACTATTCCAAATTGAAAAAACATCCAAAAGATGCAACATGAATCAAATATGCGGTCAAAATCAAGAAATCTTTTATCGCAGGAATGACGAGGGCCAAAACCTCCGAAAATAGAAATCAGCGTAAAGTGTTTAGAACGTTGAAAAAGGGAAATGAATAGTTTCATACTTTTTCAACGGCGAAAAAACGTTGTACACGGGTAAACTCATCGATATAAAAATCGACATCTTCAATAGCTTGTTACTTAATGATGGTCAGGATTTGAGTGGCAAACCGAATGAGTTTATAGTGCAAATTAAAAAAATTGAAGAGCCGCCTAATCTCGATGAATTCCATACTTATGTGCGAGAACCTTTCGTTGGGATTCTTCAATATGGAATGTTTGCAAGCGCTTTATGATTTGATGCATAGCACTTCCTATAAATATTTCCAATGCAAAAATTTGAATTTGGATCCGAATATTCGTAGGTTGTTACTCTACAAGAAAAAAGATTTAGTTATGTTCCTGTGCGAATTTTTGGTCTTCGTGATTTGCCTGCAACCTTTAATGATGAGAACAAAATTGAAAGTCAGACCATCACATCAACCATACGTCAAAACTAAATAATCAATTGGGTTAAAGAAAGCAGTTAGCATACATTTACAGTTAAAAAACGGTGAATATATTACAATATCGAGCTTAAATACCTTCATGTGGTGGAATTCAGTCGAGAAAGACGGAAGTTTGGCCGCTTGAATACTGTGAAATTATCAAGGGCAACAACGTTTTTCGCCGAAGTATTTTAGTGCGATCAACTCGCAAAGATAATAACCTTCACCGCAGCTTTTCCTAAAGTGAATATGGAGGTCATGTGTTGGATTCGCTAATGACAGAGACACCCGGTCGAATCTTGGATCCTCCGACTATTGCTATCATTTATTTTTTAAAGATACACCCCACATAATGGAACTTGGAATCCTCGTGGACGAAAATTCATTAAAAGCGATATCTCGATTTGTCTTGCGCTGTGTTCAGGAGAAATACTTGCCTCGTCTGGATGTCGAAAACATTGTTACATTGGTTTAACTTACCGTGATCAAGGAATGATTATGGAATTGGATAAGCCGCGCATTATCATCTAAATGGAGGGTTTAAGACAACGGTTCTGGGCCTACTATCGCAATGTGTTGTCGCTGACAAGATCCAGGAAAGTCCTTACTGCGTAAATGTTGCTTCGAAATGAATGTGAAACTTGGCGGAATCAATTCAATCCTCAAAATTCCCGAACTTACAAAAGAACATATCATGAACACATCCGACCGGTGAAGGCAGCGAGGATCACCCATAAACTTGTACAGTTAATCAACATGGCAGTAGAAATATTTATAGAAACCGCGGACGAAAAAGAAGGCATCGAGAAGTTTAAGTTGAAGAGAAAATTTTGGAAATGCGTCAAATTGTCAAAGAACTTTTAACGGAATATAAACAAATAAATCGGTCTTAAAAGGTCATCATGGTGTATCCGAGAGTCAATATAAAATGGTTCTTGAATATGAATTGAGGGCTATTCAAGCGGCTTGCAGAGAATTCAAATATGCAGATGAAGAAACCAAAGAGGAGAAACATATGATCCTTCGGTTACCTTTATCGTCGTCAGTAAAAGACATCATGTGCGTGTAAACGCAACAGACGAAAGAAACACTGATAAAAATGTAAATTGTCTTACTGGAACAACCATCGATCGAAAGATAAAAATGTAAATTGTCCTACTGGAACAACCATCGATCGAAAGATCACACATTCGTATCGTTATTTATACTCGACCAGCACATTACATCATATTACACGATGGAAATGATTTTAATGTCGATACCCTTTAAATTTTCTCCAGCATACTATGTGCACTTGTCTGCTAAACACGCACGCTACCTTGTAACTCGAACAAGAAATGGCACTTATGAGCTTCAGCCAGTGCATCTAGCTAGCGCTTGCACAAACTTATTCAATGCACTTCATATGATCATAAGACTATCGATATCGTAATCAAACAAACTTTTAACTGTTAAAGAAATTAGCAATTATAGAATTCATTTCACTAAATTTCCCTTACGATTTCCTTTTATAAACCAAACATTTCTCACGAAGTTTATATCAATATATTTATTATTTTCTTTTTATCTTACATGCAGATAATTTATCATAACTCATACATAAACTATGTCGTCTTTTAAAATTGTCCTTGCATGTTCATCATATCATGCTTGTTTACAAATTTTGTGGGTTTCTTAGCATTTTTAACGTAGTTTTATCTCTACTACTCATCTCTTACCAAAACATGGGGTTTTTTTCAAAGTACAACAAAGTAGGTTATCGTCCTAGTAATAGTATTATTACCAGTATTATTATATCTATTGTGTTTTCTACATATTTTTCGTTTTTTTTGAGAATGGATCAATAAATTGACTGTCGCTATATTTTTATGATTGAATATTGTTGTCGTCATCGTCATCTGAGTTTATCGTAATTTTTGTTAGAATTACTTGTATTTCGATGAGCGGATTTTGATTTCTAGCTGATTGCATCCAAATCATTAGCAGCCAACCAGATACCATATAACTGGATTCGCCCGATTTTATGTGTTTGTTCGATCATACGAGACGAAGTTTTTTGCTAAAGCGATCGTCGATCAATAGATTCGTTCCTTGGTCGCATATTATTAGATGAGACCAAGCAAACTACAATTCCTTGACTTTATATATTTTAAAATGAGCTATCATCATATTTAATTTTTCGTCCGATCATGTGATATACAAATGAAATTTCATGTAATTTATCTTGCTGTAAAATAAATTTGACGGACAAACGGAAATAGAAGAACCCTCAAAGTATATAAGGATTCAATAAAAGTTCCAACTCTTTTAAAGCCCCTTGATCCAACACCAACACTTCATGTCCTATAATGTTATAAACATCACCAGCCTCCAAAACTTCTTGCGCCGTTGAATAATGGACACGTTGCAAATTACGTTGAGCAAGTTCGAAATTCCGTGTTCTACTTGCACCAACAAACATTATCGAGTGACCGGCTCTTCGTTCAATTGCTAACGGATCCCATAGTCGACGATTTAGAAGATCTGTCAGTTCTTTTGTCTTAGGTTTAGGAACATCAATGTTATTGACTATGTATAATTGATCTTGTATGAATTTACTGGAAAGTGCTACACGTAAACCAAGTTCACGAACTTGACGAGGGAGATCAGTGGCATGCGATCTAGGGTGAGGTCCATGAGCTCGACCCCCTTATTAATTGATATCCACGACATAACATCAATATTATTAAGAGCTTAAACTAATAAATCAATTAATAAATATGATTAATCACCTCCAACAAATTGAGGAGCTCTCCGAGTTGAAACTCTTGCTTTTCCTCTTCCTTTCTGAGGTGCTACTTTCCTAGTTGATCCGCTCACTTCGCTTCTAGTTTTTGTTGAATGAGTTCCTTGTCGCCAGTTATCACGTTGCCAAACAACTACTCTGTGTAAAATATCTCGTCTTATCGGAACCCCGAAAACATGTCGATCTAAAGTAATAATATCTATCAGTTCATTGGTTTGAAAATCTCTTAGCCACGCTTCTAATCGTGATGGCAATGGAGAAATTGCTAAGAAAATTATTTTATAGATGTTAGATCTTATTAACAAATGTGTATGTTCGTCTTAAAAAACATGATAATTGGGAATTTTTATCTGTACCCTGAGGTTTAATTATAACAGGTCGACTGAAAACTTCAGTAGCAAAGTTTCTCGTTAATTGATGTATTGGCTATCTAGTGAGAAAAGCGCTCGCTTAGCCGACACCTCAATTCGCTAAAAGTTATTTCTTCTTTTTTTTACCTTTCTCGGGAGCAAAACAATACTAAGAGCTTGTTTCGAAAAAACACCGCTTCCAGGTAAAAAAGTTGCTGCAAGCTTGGCATTCATTTGCTAAATAAAATTTTCTCTATAATATGGTAATCAGCCAAGATTTGTAATCTCTCCGAAATAATGATGACCTCACTTTTCTATTTATGGTAAAAATCTAAGCTCAAGCAAATATTATTATAACCCAGAAAATCTTGGTATTTCAATATACAAATTTATATTATTGTACAGTTCATAAAGACAAATTAGTCAATTCCTCGATAATACGCGTCAAAATCGCAATCATCGTGGAATTTTTATGAGAATTAGTTGGAGAAAGTATTGTATTCGAGTTGATGTTATTATTATTCTGCTGTTGTTCATTATCGATGTCGAAAGAAGGATAAAGATAAATATCACATATAACATTGTTCAGTGGTCTTTTGTCGTTTTTTTCATTTTGTGCTTTTTGCCATTCTTTGATACGCAAGAAAATTGAAAAGACAAAACTCTGTGGAGAATATGAAATTAAAAAAAATGGATAAATTTAATAATAGATAATAGGAAAATAAACATTACATGCTCCTCCGTTTTGTCGTCTTTTTCATTTGATTTTGATGTTACTATTAACTCAAAACACAGTCGTTCATCCAGTCCAACACTTTGATGTACATTCCATAATTGTCGAAGTATATTAGGTGATATTTTTATTGTTTTTGATGGTAAATCTGAAAATGTTGGTAAGGTGGATGAAGTGGAAGATGTGGAAGTATCATAATCACGAAGACATTTCTCACACTTGCAATGCATGTAAAAGAGATCAAAATAGTTAGATGTTATGTGTATAAATTGATTAAGAATAAAAAGTTACAATTTTTGTTAATTTACCTGATCAATCAAATATATTCCAAAGATATGTTCGACTTGTAAGTTTTTTCGGGTGCCAGGACTTGGAAAAGCTAAGGTAATCTTGACATTATACTAAAAAAAACCAAATCAGGAGAAAAATTAGTAAATTGCAAAATAAATATATGTATAGGATAACTCACCGGAGCAAAATCTGGTGGTATTATTCGAAAAGTTTCAGTTATTTTTGTAAATGGGGAAATAATAAATTTAGAACCATTATCATTCCCTGTTAGCAATGAAGAAACCAGAGTGGCTGTTTCATCTTCTTCCCGATTATTATTATTATTATGTATTTCTCGAGACCGTGTTGATCCCAAGATTCTAGTGAAGTAGATAAGTTATTAGATTAAAATGAAAATAAATTAATGATAAGAAAATTCCATTACCCTGAGACTGTAATACCGTCATTAATTTTTCTTGTTATTGAGCCAATGCATTCTAGTACTACAATCTCTTCCTAATTAATTCGCGTTTAGAATGTAGGAAAAATTACTTATAAAAATATCATAAACAATATATTATTGAATACCTTTTTACTGAACTGATTCACAAAAATCAATTTTAATGAGCCATTCACTATAGGAAATTGACTAGCGTTCGATACCGTGATTTCGAGTAAACTTGGTATAGTTTGATCTTTTTCTTCTTTCTTGGCAGATTCGTTTTTATGAATCGGTACGATTTTCGTTTCTATCGATATTTCAATAAGCTTTTTATGTAGATATCAACGTAATATGATTAAAATTCAAAATTAATTCAATACCAATACGACAATTAGACGTCAGCAACTGCTCCATTGCAGAGTTCATGGCACGCGTTATTTCCAGCGACTGTTTAAGATTTTCTGCGAGTGTCTTTATTATAAAGGATTCACTTCATTAATTGAATCAATAATATGATGAATGAATTATATAATAAATGCGAGCAATCGTTGAATTCGTATTGACTAACCGCGTACACTGTACTAAAAGAACTCTGAATGCTTGATACGTTATTCTGAAGCATTTCTGTCATTGCGTTCCTAATAATGATTTCATTCATTTATTATTCTTATAGATAAATGTATACTTTACTTGAGAAATAGTTTTTTTTATTACATTGGGCTATTATTACTTGTAATATGCTCTCCTTCAACATCATTACTGTCCATTTTGATCTTTTCGTTAGCTTTGAGAACAGTATCAAGAACACTTTGTCCCGAATTTTCGTTGTCCATGTTCGCAACGACGCGTTTGTGCGACACTAAGAAACACAATACAAATGCAATCATCTCATCATCAAGAATTTATGTAATCTCTGCGGTCACATGCTACAAGCCTTTTCAAAGTTTCTACGCGTTTGTTGGGCTCAATTGGCTTAGTAAAATTTCGTAGATAAAAATTTTCATGATATGATATAATATACAATACATAATATAATCACGATAAGAAGATTCTCGCTCTTTTTATCTATCATTGAGTAGAACTTTTGATTTATTAATAGTAAAAATGTCCGAGAGAGGAAGTAAGACCCCTAAAAAGACTTCCAAAAAAAAAGATGTCGTTATTGAGCCCCCCTCACCCGAAGATAGCGAGGAACAAGTTGATCAATTAACGGGTGACCTTGAAGATATGCAGGTTGATCAAGCAATTCTCTTGGAGACGGATAAAGCCAAAAAAAGCAACGGTGAACATGCTGGCGTAAGTGACAAAGACGAGGAAAAAGGAAAAGAAAACGAAGTGAAAGAGTCGCAGGAGGAAAAAGAACGAAGTCGAAAACGAAAGGGAAAGGAGAAAGAGCAAGACGGGGATTACGTAGAACATGAGGAACAAGACGACGACGATGACGACGACGATGTTGTTTCTGGGGACGACGTTTATACCGTTGAGCGCATTCTCGATCACGTTGTTAATAAAGTATGCTAAATAAAGTTAATGATTATCGGTTTATTTATTTCACTTGTTTATTTACTTATTTAAGAGTATCATTCTAACAGTTTAATATAAATTTATTCTGTTAGGGAAAACTGCAATATTATATAAAGTGGCTAGGCATGAATTTATTCCATATTGAAAATTAAACAAAGCAAGCTCAATTTGTATGACTTGTCAATATATTTATTGATTCTCTATTTATTTGACAGGATACCCCGAGAGCGATAGTACTTGGGAATACGAAGAAAATGTGTAAGGTTCTTTTGGTAATTGACTTCTTTGACATTATATATGAAAGTATACTTTTAACATTACATGCAAAATAGATTCTGTCGACCCTTGATCACAGCATATTGGGATGACAAAGAAAAATTCTTAGACAATGAAAGAAAAGAAGAATGGCGAAGCCAGCCAGATATAATGAAGGCAAAAATGACAGCTCGCTCTACCAAAGATACTCTTATCAGTAGAGAAAATTCTGTTCAAACTCCTTCACATACCCACACCACTAGCACTCCTGCGAGTCCCTCAAGAATTCTTCGAGAAAGAACACCAGCAAAGTTAAAAAAGATGAGAAAATTTGCTAGAATGGAATCTTCAGCGTCGGAAGCAGAGTCATCTGAAAAAACGAAAACAAGCGTGAAAAATGTCACGGAGGCTGGCTATTCAAAGCTAAATGGCAAGAGAAAGCGAATGGCTGACGATGAGGAGGAGGAGGAGGAGGAGAAAGAGAATCAAAAGGAACAGAGAATAGAAGAACAAGAGGAAATTCATGGTCATTCGCCAGACGATGAATTTGATCCGGTTGGAATTGAAGGAAGTTGGGAACCGTTGGTCAAAGAAGTTATCACCGTCTACCCAACTTCTGATCAAAACGTGTTGAAAGTTTACGTATTATGGTAAAGTAATTTTTTTGTTATTTCTTGATTTTTTCATAAAATGTTAAATGACAAAAATTATTTTTTTTTGATATTGTTATTAGGAAAAACGGTAAAACCACAGTTCATCTTAATAATATAATCAACGTTAAATGCCCTTTAAAAGTAAGTCATTGATTAACTAATTAATCAGTCAGTTAATTAATACGTATTAATGCGATTTTTCTTTTTCTGAATATATAATCTTGTTTGTGCAAAGATGATTGAATTCTACGAAAAAAGGTTGCAATTCTCAAAGAAAAAGGGTCAAACTTCATGAATTTAAACAACTCGAGAAATCTCAGCTATTGATTGGTTGATAAACGAAATTACTTCACATCTCTATATTGCCATTGATAATCTTATACCTGGTCACTTTTGGACGGTTGTTTTCGTAATTTTCGGTTGGTTTGTCGATTTTAAGATTCCATTTTTTTTATTTTACTTTTTTATAGCGAGAAGAATCATTATAGTTGGTATTTAACTTTTTATTGATTAATATCTTTATCCTAGCGGATTGTTTGTTCGATTCAATGTTTTTTTAATAAATACCGATGGGAATATGTTGCAAGTTTTTCGATTCAACGTTTTTTTTTTTTAATAAATACGATTTAATGTGTAATTTGAATTCGAAAATTTATATAACAAATATAAAATAAATAAAACACATTTTGATTTTATATTTTATTTTTATTATATATAAAATACATTATATATTTATATACAGTAAGGATACCAAAAATTATTAAGCTAAAAAAAACTATCAGTCTATTACTGAATGTCTTCTACCCTTACACAACAATTGTTTTTAATAATTTCTTTGCTGCTGCTGGTAACTGCTCCCTCCATAATTCCAGATCTTTATAAAAAGATCCAACATGTCATTAACAGAAAATAAACAAGTTTGGTACCTTATCAAATTACTACATAAAGATCATTAATACGATTAAATATCCACTCATATCCTTATTCCACCATCTCCCCTTTCCTCATTATTTATTTGCTTTTTATCCCATCACACGAAAAAACCTCAGTACCACCAATATCGCCAATAAATCACCAGGAATAACACGAGAAATATAACAACAGGTGGCCCATACTTGCGATAAAGAAGTTGCAAATTGAGATCTCGTGCAGATTTTTTGTATTTCTGGGATTCGTAGCGAAGTTGGTCAGAAAGTGAACTCATTTCTGCAAATTGTTAGTTAATTAGTTAAAGATCGTCTTCTTAAGAGATTTCCGAGTTTTTAATTCTCAAAAAACTCACTGTCTAATCCTTCGCCACGCCAAAGCACATTCTCTAAATTTTTTGTCATGATATTCGCGACCTCACTCAATTCTGTGTTCAATCGATCAAGGTTCTGCTGTGTTCGGGTATTTTGATACACTTTTTTGGTCTTTTGCATAAAAGTGTCTATGAAGAAAGATCATTGAATAAGATTCATTGCATTATGCTTTGGATTGTCATCAAAAAAGGAGTACGTAGGAAAAAAGCTCACCAAATTTAACAAAAGCATACGGTCGCAAATTTTTTTTCTCTATCTCGTTTCCATATAGTGTGTAAAATTCTTTGGCAAGTTCATCTAAATAGCTGAATGCCAGTTGCCGCGGGTACGATCGATCACTAATTGTCATGTAGCATACACCATTTTGTATGATGTAACTTTTTATGTGTGTGTAAATTAAGAATGTCAATATATAATGATAAATAAATTCATGAAAGTCAAAAAAAATCTGAAGCGTCAAATTTAAGCAAAAATGCGCTCAAGTGGATATTACCACTTACTGAAAATAATAATTTCCCGATTCTATTGAACACTTGTCTTCCGAATGCTCATTCATTTTTTTAAAGAGAAGCTTGGCCTTTTGCTTGTATTCGGCTAACTCTGCTTCACCTCCCTAAAAAATTACAACCAAAAACAAGGTAAGTTAAAATAATAGGCTTAACTTTTTTCTGATAACTCAATAAAAGAAGTCTGGTGCAAAAAAAAAGTACCTGTTCATTATCAACAGAGGCGGCGAGCGGTAAACCTGAGAGTAAAAAGTGAGTTTTAGAGCAAAAAAATGAAGATGAGTCAAGAACGCATAGAGAAAAAACTTTATTGTACCATCAGATATCCGTGCAATTATTGTCGACTTGACCATAACTGAAAATAATATCTATTAGCAGAAAGTTGTGTTTTTGACGAGGAAGTTATAAATTGGGATTTGATTAACGATCATCAAACCTGTCACGATGCTATTGGCCGACTATACTGTATTTTTTAAATTGCTCGGGATAATAATATCGATATCGATATGCATTCTTTTTTGATTTTCTCATGATACACTTTTTTTACTATATCTCCATTTTAAGACAAACCTATAAATGAGACTTGGTTATTTATGTATCCACCTAAAAATTGTATTTTTAATTTAATATATGATTGTAGGGGTGTGTACACTAAAGGTATTTTTTATACTTCAAATTAATTAAGAAAGAGACATGTTCCCAGATCCCTAAATTGAAATTTAGCAATGTCTGTTAGTGTTCTCTCGACTTTGCACTTTAACAATATCTTGAAATTTGATTACTATATATAACTCATTATTTAATGTATGTACACGATAAGTTGATTCTTACAAATATGCGTATATTGTTACATAATAAATTACAAGAATGTTGCGATGAACGAATATTGAAAAATGTATAATAAATAAATTCAAAGTTTGATACTGATTACGAGTATTAATCAAGTGGAGCATCCCTAGAAAAATCCGTAGTAATAATATGTTATTAATATATATATATATATATATGCATTATATGAATGGTAACTATATTTTTACTTACCATGGTCTCGGAACTAAAGCAACTGGCAAAACCCTAAAATATTTAATATCAATAATATAAAAACAAAATTTCTGATTTAATTTGTTTTCAATCAAAAGTTCGTAAATCTCACGAACGAAAAACGTTATTTTTTACCAAGTAGCAGCCAACACGACACCATGCCCGAGATTTTGTGATTTAATTACAGTGAATTGTAATCCGACCCAAGCGGCAATAAACCCAAAATACGGATGAATTGCTGTGACAGTACTGGCGACTACTTGCAACAACCCAAGGAATGAATTGCCAACATTTTGTGCTTGATCAAGTCGTCCCATACAATCTTGCGGCACATAAATTTCATAACCCCACCAAAAAACATAGGCTGAAATTTGATGAGTTGGAGGATGAAATAGTTTCTTTACTATATTTTTTGCCGTGACAGATTTCGATTCACCTTCTTTTGTTGCAGTACCACGAGTATTTGTGTCTGTAGACTTTTCCGTCTTGGAATTTCCCGGATTATCGTCTTTGTTGGTATTGGAAGGATCAGTACTAAGGGTTTTGTCTTTACCATTAACCGCTGACGAAAGAGGGGAAGCAGTAACAGTAGTAACTTGAACGGCATCAACTTCCACTGTTTGTGGATCTGGCATTGCCTTAAGCATACTAACTATTCCTTGAGCAGTCGCTTGTTTTTGTAGAGCCTTCACAGCACGCTTGCGTTGTTGTGCATGAGCTCCATGGTCTGCACCCATTATAATGTCTTTAATAGAGTGAGCAAGAGACTCATGATATTCTGTCTCGTTTTTCACTTTTTTATCTTTGGATCCTGGCCACCAATTCATTAAATTAGTTAAAGTTGGCGAAGATGGAAGGCTAGGAGATTTGAGCGGTTTGGGAATCGTTGTTGAGTTAACTTCTTTTGTTTCCACTACTATTGATTTTCGGGAAAATGCGATTCCTCCTCTCATTTTTTACTGTTTACTATGTGGAAAAACGATATATTACAAGATGCTAGAAGAAGTGCTATTGCGAAAAATGAAGGAAATTCTCGTTAATAATAGAAAATTCAGAATTGGATTTTTTAAGCACATTTACGTTAAATTCACGCTTAAGTAAGTTGATCATGTTCACAGTTTTACCCCTTTGTGTAAAGGAGGATCATGTAGAAAGATGGGGCAAAGGGGCGAGTACAGAGAGAGTGTGGTTGTACGAGGAAATTTAATTATAGCATTGACAGATGCATAATTAATTTAAACGCGTCAAAAAATGCATCAGAGAAGGGTGATTGAATTTTAATCATTTTCAAAGTCACAAAGAAAAGAAAATATAGTCGCAATTTTTATTAATAAGCAATAAAAAAAAACGCGTCAATTTGAGAAAAAGACGCGATATTTTTCCGTGTTAATATAAAAGGGAATTCTTTTGGTATTTAGTAACTCCGCCATTTGAGTAATGCGAGATCGTAGGTTCGTTTTTTAAAGAATGAAACCAACCGCATTTATTGTCAAAAAAGATCCAATTTGAATAGGTGTAGAACCGAAGGATCACTAGGCCGCGAGACTATGGTTTCTTCTCTCAAGCGGAAAATTCTTGAATGAACAGATATATATGCGCGTAATAAGTGTTGGGTATCGAATTCCTGTAGAATCTTCGAATCTTTGACCAAACGGGAATATTCGATAAAATATTCGTTTCAGGTTACCAAGAATTATTTTCTAAAATTAATAGTTAAACATTGAATTGAATTTTATAACGATAAGAATTTTTTTTAAGTTGTATTCTTTCTATATTAGCTAATTATACATGTAGAAATTGAAATTAATTTTGAAATCAAATATTTGCTCATTGAACTTTTCTAAAAAATTCATTTCGTTAATAATACACAGATCTCTAACTTTGTGTACTGAATCAAAAGAATATATCTCACTTTAGCATTAGAAAATCAAAATAGTAAATATATGTACTATAATTGAAAGGAGCATTAGTTATGGCAAAACAACACATGTCATTTATAGTTATATATTATAAAGAAACCTCTCTAAGTGCTTTCCCTTGGGATCATATTAAAAAAAATAGAGTATGCATTTAGAGAGAATGTGCATATATAGAATAAATAATTAGATCTTATAAGTTGTAACTGAGCCATAGTGTGTATTTAGAGTGTGTATATATTATGTACATTTATAAAGAGTGCATTTAGAAAGATTTCTTTATATTCTCAAATAAATTTATTTTTATTCTTAAATAATAAATTATATTTTCAAGTTATTAAATCACTTTTCTCTTTTTCAAAGAAATAAAATCTTTATTTTAATATACAATAGTAAATTTCTAAAAATAAGCTATTTTTTTGTATAATTTTAGACTTGAAAACTTAAAAAATAATTTATTTTTGGATTTAACTTTATTAAATTTATATATTATAAATTGAAAATAAATATTATTACCATTCTAAAATGTCATGAAATTATGTGTAAGAGAGAGTTTATGATATTATAATAGATTATTTAATTAGAATAATTATGATAAGATGTATTAATAATAATGAGTGGAAAAATATAATACTTCAAGCATTATATCATGATTATAATGAGTCTAGAATAATGATAACAATATGTTCATAACATGATCTGCTAGAAAAGATCTAAAATTTATATTGGAAGTATTTATTAAGAAATGTTATATAATAAATATGCAGTTTTATTATAAAATCACAATATAATAATAAATATATATTAATGAATGAATTTATTATTAATTTATTACATGTTTTTAATTGTTATTGATTATTCTTGAAATTCTAAGAACTATTGAATCTATTTTTTTACTAGCTAAGATATATATAAGTAATTGATAAATAAGAAGTGATTATTTGGAATGATTACTTAAAATAATTATTTAGAATAATTATTTAGAATAATTATTTGAAGTAATTACTTGGAATGATTACTTGAAATAATTATTTATAATGATCATTTTTATAAAATATCAAATTATAACAATATAAAATTAATTAATAAAATATAATAGAATGTTATTCAATTAAATTTATAATATAAATTAATCAATAAAAATATTCATATTATAATAGGGTACCCCTATTTTCACCATCGTAATTTGCTATTTCCATCATGTGACATGGAATTACTGGATGTTTCCGAATGTAACATTTGCATCACATAATCGTAGCATACAGGCTGAAATTAAGAGCTAGAGCGGATCAGAATTATGGACGTGATGGATGCATGTCAGAAGGGAT